GAGAGAGAGAGAGAGAGAGAGAGAGAGAGAGAGAGAGGAGAGAGAGAGAGAGAGGCAGCCGGAGAGAAAGAGACAAAAAGAGACCGACAGCGAGAGAGAGACACGGAGAGACGGGCTGGGGGCTGGGGGTGAGGTGGGAGGGTAGACCATCTTTCTTCTTGGGAGCCCAGGGAGCTTGGTGTTGGATCAGCAGCAGCCGCAGCCCCAGCAGCCCCAGCCGCAGCCCCAGCAGCCGCAGCAGCCCCAGCAGCGAGCGGCGCCGAGCCCACCGGACCAGCCCCCTGAGCGTGGCAGCAGCACGAGCGCCCCCGGACACGCCGGTGCCGCCGCCCAGCGCTCACCCTGCTGGCTCGCTCTCTCTTTCCTCTTTTTTTCCCGGACCGTAGCCGGGGTCCCAGTGACTTGTTCCTGGAGCCCCGGGAAAGCTGAGCTGCCACGGATCTCGGGAGCCCCGCCCCCACCGCTCGCCTTTAGTCCCCGTTTTCTTCGCCCTTCGTTTTGAAAAAGAAAAAAAAAGGAGGAGGGAGGAGGAGGAAGAGAGGGCAATTAAAAAGAAGAAAGAAGGAAAGAAGGGGGGGCGGAGAAGTAACTTTCCCCCTGCTCAGCCCCGGGGGAGCCGAGTTGAGTTCACCTTTTTCGTTTTTTTCTCGGGACTCTTTTTCGCGACCCAAGTGTTCCCTACCCCAGTCCCGCGCCCAAAATGAAAGGACCGAAGCAGGGGGCGCCTCGTCATCCTCGGACCACTGCGTTTCCTGCTGCATCTCCAGAAGAAAAGCCCGGCGTGCTGGATTGTTTTGTCGCTTAAAATCTACAAGTGTGTGTGTATACACAAACGTGCACACGTACATACGATCGCGCGCGCGCGTACACACACACACACACACTCACACACACACACTCACACACACACACTCACACACAGACGGAGGGACTGGAGCTCCGGAGCGAATGGTTCGGCCCCAGACCCAGAGAGGAGTCCGAGGGGAGGCGAGAAGAGCCTGAAGCTTGCACAGTCGTAGTGGAAAGAAAGGGGCACCTGGGTGGAAGGATCGCTGCCCTCGGGGCAAGTGTGTGTCGTGGGGGCGGGCGGGCGGAGGCGAGGGGGGGGGCCTCACCCCCTTGAAGAAGTCTTTTTTTTTTATTTGTTGTAAAGTGTTTCTCACAATCACGCCCACATTTGGGGTTGGAAAGCCCTAATTACTGCCATCTCTGATGGACGTTGGGAACCCAGCCATCAGAAGAGCGCAGCTCGGCTCTGCGGTCGCCAGGGCGCTAGCGCAGGACTCAGGTCCCTCTCAGCCGGTCCCGCTGCCCGCCTCGTCCCCGGACTTTCTGCCCATCCCGGCCTCCAGGGCCCGGGCCGCGGTGCTGGACACCCGAGGCCCCTCTACTAGCATTCTGGGCTCCGGCGCGGGCTCCTACCGGGGCTGCTGCTGCTGCCGCCTCTGCTGCCGCAGTCGGCAGTGCCTGCTCTCGAGGACACCCACCCGGGACTGTGCGGTCTCGCCTGGCCCAACGCTGCTCCGCTGGGATTCCTGGGCTGCTTTCCCGGAGCTGGGGACTTTCATCCACCTCCAGCCCCCCTCCCCGTGAGCCATGGAGGTAGGTTCGAGGCTTCTCTCTCTCCCTCTCTCTCCCTCTCTCCCTCTCTCCC